ATGTTTTACAGGCCTAAAGTTTTACATTTTTTATTTTACTGGATAGAAAGTGTTTTTGGTCACCAAGAAATCCCAGAAGCCTTGGCTGAGCCTCCTTTGGAGGAAGGAAGGGGATATGATAAAAAGAAAATGGGGAGACCAGCAGGTTGCATGATGGTTAAGGCGCTGGACTCCCACATGGCTGACTACAGTGCAGAGTCCCGGACCTGGTGGCTTACTTTCTCACTTACCCTTTCTCTTTCTCCCTGTCTTTCTCTAGTCAAAATAAAAAATAATAACAAATAGAATTAAATAAATAAATGAATAATTTTTAAAAATGGGTCTGGCTTTTCTTGTATGACCAAGTCTCTCCCCCCTTCTCACCTTGTTTGATCATCTGCATAGGGGGGTTAGGTGCTATCGCTCCTTTTAGACATTATGATTCATATTGCATGTGGTGTTAAAGTTTTAAATGAGTTAATTCATGTACTCTTGAAGGTTACTTTTACTGTTCAGTTTATTTACTCATATATCCCAATTGTCACAGTGCATAAAGATGCTATCGTTTCTAGGCGTAGGAGTTGTTATCTTCATACTTGGGGGTGAATTCCTTGATGTTTCTGAAATCTCTAAGATTCCGAATGGCAGTGTCCCTGCCTCTAAGGCAAATTAGTAGGTGAATCTTCTCCAGAGAAGAAAATCAGTGTCTAATAAATGCTATGCGATGGTCTCATACAGTGAGAATCGAGAATCTCTTAAACGTCCATCAGTGGATGAATGGATAAGAAAATGGGGCCCAGCTTCAGTGGTGCAGTGGTACTACATTGAACTGCAGTGTACATACATACAAGTATAGGTGCACACACATGCCTCTTTTGTAAATAAAATAAACTTTAAAAAAAAAAGAGGACTGGAGGTGGTGCAGCAGTGAAACATGAAGTTCTGCAGAACAATCCCACATAGGAAGGTTCCAAGGTCAAGTCCTGAGACCTCCCTGATTATGTGGCACATCTGCACCATGGTCTGAGGCTGACTAAAGCTGGGAGTGGATCACTGAGTCAAGAATGTTGGGCACTGGTCTTGTCGCCTGGTGGTTGAAGGAAGCTGGATCCCACAGTGGTCAACCACAGTTCAAATCCCAGCCCTACAAGTTTAAGAAACATGCATTTTTCTATGTATTGTGTGTGCATGTTGCAAATCCCGACAGAATAGAAAACTGGAGTAGAAGAGATTGTGGAAAGATCATGGCCCATTAGAAGATGTTTTTTCACTTTTTTTTTTTTCTTCTCTCTTTCTCTGGTGAGGACATGTGCCCTCTGGAAACTTAAGTAAAAAACAAGACCCTGTTAGGAATGCTGACTCTCTGTTTCTCTCACTTATGGAAGAAATAAATAAACAAAATTAAATTACATATATACATTAATATATATATATATATATTACATATTATATAATCTATCTATAAATATATAGATAGATATATACATATATAGATAGATTACAGTAAATACATACAGTGGAATACTATTCAACCTTAAAAAAAGGAGAAACCTTAGGCCAGCCCCATAACACAGCAGTTAAGTGCTATACATAGGGAGTCAGATTCCACATGACCATCTGTGGTTTGAGTCCCAGCTCTGATGACTTAAAAAACATGTTGGATACAAGTGCATGAATGCCAAAAATTCATGGATGGAGACAGGGAGGAAAAAGGATTGTAGCACGAAAATGCCCCATTGGAGGAGTGTCCTCTCTTTCTGTCTCTGTCTCCTTGGTGAATGCACATGCTCTCTGGCAATTGAAAAGGAAGAAGAAATCTGTGTAATTACCATCAAGAGGAGCCTTAGGAATAGCTACACCACCTAACACTCACTACAGGTCTTCCCCGACTTACAATGGTGTTACCTCCCAACAGACCCACCACAAGTTGAAGATGTCACATGTCAAAAATGCACTTAAGGGGCCAGCAGGTGGCATGGTGGTTAAGATGTTGATGCCTGCCTCATGGTTGACTGTGTGGACATATGTGTATGCAGTCCTAAAATCCCAAGAGGTAAGGGAGGGGAGGAGAAAAGACTACAGGGTGGCCATCCAGTCTGGGGCATGATTTCTTACTTTCCCTCTCATATCTCTCTGGTGGGTACCATAAGGCAAAAATCTTAAAATCCCCTGCCCCCAATTTGGATTTGTATATAAGATAGCCACGTTTTAAAAATTAGTCCAAATTTATACAACATTGTGTCAAAAAACACCTATGGCCAAATTAGACTCATCCGCTGTTGATTTCAATGTCTGTCCTAGAGATGAAGGGCCTGGGTCCGGACTTAGCTGACTTCCTGGTCATTTATTGCTCTCTGCTCCAGTCTCCTCTTTTGTAAAGTCAGTTTAGCACAGTCCTACCCTGTGAGAGTTCTTGTGATATAAAATACTATGAAATATGGACCAGAAAGAGTGCATGCACCAATAAATCTAATTAGGTATTAAGAACAGGGTTGCCCCTGAGACTTAAATGAGTTAATAGTTGTAAAGTTTTAGAACAGTCCCTGAAATACAGTAAGTGCTCAGTGAATGTAGGTCACCCTGACTGTCCTCCCCATCTGGATTCCTGACAGCCCTCAGGAACAGATCAACAGAAATGTGGCACTCTGCTTTTTACTCACATGTCAGGCAGACCATGGCAACACGGATGGACAGGTCCAGAGGCAGTTCCCAGCGCTTTGACACACGAGAGACGGCCCAGGGGATGACAATTTCTGCAGGGACATAGAACTGCAGGGGGTAGGTGCACAGGATGCAGACGATGTAGAGGATCTTGACTGACTGGTACAACCTATGAGACAAACCAGAACGATGTCTCCAAGGCCACTGTGCTCTGCCACCTGGCCTCCTCTGAATAGTAACCCGACCTTGGGGCAATCCCATGAGCCTCTGTTTCCCTGCCTGAAAAAGATGGAGAGGGACTTTCTAAGAGTCAACAGGGAGTCACACCAGATCATGTATAAAAATAGAGTGAAGTGTTATGGATTCCATGGAAACATTGGAAGGGTCATGTCTAAACGAAATGAAAAGAGTCTTGAGCGTGAGCATATGGGGAACCTGAAGGTCTGTGAACAGACTACTGTCGCTTGCTGTTCAGTTTTAGATTTTGGAAAGAGAGGGAGACACAGCTGAAAAGTGCCTAAGACCCAAACTCTGGCTCTGAAGGATTCTAGGTCTTCGTGATCAGTTAGTCCTTAGGAATTCTCCAGATTCCCCAAAGCTTTTGGCACCTAATAGGCTCTCAGTAAATGCTTCTAGTTGGCTGAGAGAATTGCAGAATCCCAAATGCCTGGAAAGGAAAAGATAGTTTATAAATAGGGTTGTGTGGAGATCGTGCAGGGCAGGAAAAAGAGAAAAAGGAGAGACGGGGTTACTTGCAGGCCTTAAGCTAGGGTACAGAGTATGTGAAGTATCAGAGAATGTTGGGATCTATGTTTTTTATCTTACCTGTCTTGACTATTTTTCATTAGCCTACTAATATGGTAGAGGTGTCTTCCATGTTTAATAAACATGTATGTGTGTGTGTACGGGTGTGTATGAGGCCATTTCTTAAGAAGCCTGACTTCCATATTTTGTGTTTCTTGCTCACACTGGTCCTTCTGCCTGGAACACCCTGCTTTATACTTTTTCATCCTAGCTATTCTGACTTGGCCATGAGCCCGGGAAAATGTCGTTTGGAGTGTTGGCACCCATGCTGTCTGTGGTTGGTCTCTCTCAATGTCCCTCCCTTCTCTCCTTAGGTGATCAAGTACTCTCACTTCTGTCTTCTCTTCTTAAATCATGTTCTTCACACCAAGACATGAAGGCCTAACCGTGTGGAAAGCTGTTGTTGACGCTCCCTGGACCCAAGGTTCTAATAACAGCTCCGCTTCTCTGTGCAGAGGCTCTGCAGACCTCAGTTTCCCAGCCATGGAAGGAAGGAGGCAGTGACCAGTATGTGTCTACCGCCCTCAGTCCCCACCACCTCAGAGCCTGCGAAAGTACCAGCAGTTGGGCAGGTTGAGGGTTATGCTGGCCCTGATGTTGTCTCCAAACCGCAGGTAGCCCAGAGCCCCCATGCCAATATACATGATGGTAACGATGGACATTCCCAGAGACAGGATGGCTGGGAAGCGGCGGGCGTTCTTCATCTTGTTCTCCAGGGGCAGAACCTACAGAAATAGCACAGTGTAAGGACACAGGAGGCGGAAGAGGAACATAAATAAAAAGAAGAAAGGCAGGGCCAGCTGGTGGCATGGTGGTTAAGGCACCAGATCCCACATGGTTGACTGCCCAGTTCTAATCCCAGACCCAGTGGCTTGCAAAACACATGGGCATGTATGTGTGCATGCCTAAAATCCCAAAATAAAACTGGAGGAGGAGGGCTTGTGGCATGACCATCCCCAAGGAGGATGTTTTCTCTCTTTCTGTCTATCTCTTTCTCTGGCAAGTGCACGTGCTCTATAGCAAATAATAAATAAATAAAACATTCAATTATTTTCAAATTAAACTTTAAAAAAAAGAAAGAAAAAGGAGAAGAAGAAGAAGAAGAAGAAGAAGAAGAAGAAGAAGAAGAAGAAGAAGAAGAAGAAGAAGAAGAAAGAAGAAGAAAACAAGTAGAAGAAGGGCATACCACTTGTGGTATATACCCCAGAGTTGAGGAGGGGACTTTGAGATACTTGCCCATGCATGTTCACATTCATAGTAGTATTATTCATGGTAGGATAAACCTTGACATTTCTTAAGGTAATGTCACCTTCAATACTAATCCTAACTGGCACATAGTAGGCATATGAAACAGATTCATTGAACAAATATCACCTTCATTGTATAATTAAGAATCAACTCAGAGAGTTGCCATGCCAAAACAACTGATAGATGGATAAACAAAATATTGTGTAACCATACAGTAGAATATTATTAAGCCATATAAAGATAATGATAAAATACTAACATGTATAAACTTAGAAAATATTAGTATGTAGAAAAACCCAGACACATGGAACCAGCAGATGATGTAATGGTTACGTCGCTGGACTCCCATGTAGTCAACTGTGGTTCAAGTCCTGGATCTGCTGGTTTGAAGCTCATGCCGGGCACGTGTGTGTGCATGCCCAAAACCCTGAGAGGAGAATGGAGGAGAAAGAATTGTTGTGTGGCCATCTCCTCTGGGGGTGATTTCTTGCTTTCTGTCTCTGTCTCTCTGATGAGTGCATACACCCTATAGCAAAAGCCTCTTTAAAAAAAATGTGTATTGTATGATTCTATTACTATGAAATGTCCAGAATATGCAAACCCATTGGTTTCCAGGGCCTAGGAGTAGGAAAGAATGGAAAATGACTGCTTAAGGGTAGTGCCTCTTTTTTTTTTTTTTTTTTTGGAGAGGTTTTTGCTATAGGGCGCGTGTGCTCGCCAGACAGACAGAGAGAGAGACATAGAGACAGAAAGCGAGAAATCACCCCCCAGGGGGGATGGTCACGCCGCAATCCCTTCTCCTCCATTCTCCTCTCGGGATCTTGGGCACGCACGCACACGCGCCCGGCGTGAGATTTAAGCCACCGGGTCCGAGACGCGAACCGCGGTCGACTACGTGGGAGTCCAGCGACATAGCCATTACGCTAACTGCTGGTTCCAAGGGTAGTGCCTCTTTTATGGGGTAATAAAAATGCTTTGGAATTTGATAGTGGTGATGACTGCCCAATATTTTAACTGGACAAAAAACTACTGAATTGCATACTCTATTTAGGTTTTTTTTTTTTAAATAAAATTACTTACTTAATTTTATTTATCATTATTATTATTTTTAAATTTGCTACAGGGCACTTGTACTCGCCAGAAAGAGAGAGAGAGTGAGTAAAAGAAACAGAGAGAGGGAAAGTGAAAAGCAAGTCACCAGGTCTGGAATTCAAACCATGGCCGACCATGTGCAAGTCCAGCACTTCAACCACCATACCACCTGCTGGCCTGTGAATTGCATATTTTAAATTGTTAATTTTGTGTTATATACATTTTACCTCAATAAAAATCAAAAGGATAGAAAAAGATAGATCATACAAATGCTAATCAAAAGAAAGTTGGGACACTCATAGTGCATGATTATTAGATGAAATTTCTGTTATGCAGACAGCTTGGTATTGATGAAAGGACAGACACAACGATCAGTGAATAGGTATAGGAAGTCTAGACAGCGACCCTTATATGTATACCAGTTCATATGAAGATGTAAGCAATTCAATGGAGAATGGATAGTTATTTCAAAAAATGATGCTGGAACAATTCGGCATCTTATCAAAAAATAAACTCCAACACATAAGCATCTTAGACAAAATTGAACTTAGAATGGATCACAGGTCTAAATGTACAATAAAAACTCTGAAACATTTGAAAACTGATAAAGCTGAAATTCTTCATGACCTTGGGTTAGGTAATTGTTTTTAGATATAATATCAAAAGGAAAATTTATAAAAGGAAGCTTTTGATAAAGTTTACTTTATTAAAATGAAAAATGGGGAATCAGCAGTTAGTGTAATGGCTATGTCGCTGGACTCCCACGTAGTCGACTGCGGTTTGCGTCCCGGACCCGGTGGCTTAAAACTCACGCCAGGCGCGTGTGCGCGCGTGCCCAAGATCCCAAGAGGAGAATGGAGGAGAAGGGATTGCGGCGTGACCATCCCCCCTGGGGGGTGATTTCTCGCTTTTTGTCTCTATGTCTCTCTCTGTCTGTCTGGTGAGCACACACGCCCTATAGCGAAAACCTCTCCAAAAAATAAAATAAAATAAAATAAAAAATGTCTGCTCTGGGACCAGAAGATGGTGTAAAGGTTGTCGCTGGACTTCCACCTAGTCAACCACAGTTCAAGTCCTAGACCCGGTGCCTTAAAGCTCACACTGTGCATGTGTGCGTGAGTGTCCAAAATCCTGAGAAGAGAATGGAGGAGAAGGAATTGCAGTGTGGCCATCCTCCCTGGGCAGTGATTTCTTGCTTTCTGTCTCTCTGTCTCTCCAGTGAGTGCATGTGCTCTATAGCAAAAATCGCTCTCAAAAAAAGTTTGCTCTGTGGATGACACTGCTAAAGAGTAAAAAGAAAAACTATAGACTAGAGAAAATATTTGGAAATTACATAGCCAGTAAGGAATTTGCATTTGGAATACATAAAGAACTCTAAATCTCAACAATGAGAAAACAACAACTCAGTTAAAAATTTTTTTAAAGAATTATTTAACTTAATTTTATTTATTTATTTAAATTTGACCAGAGAGGGGTGGGGGAGGGGGGAGTGAGAAACCACATTGCCAAATCTGGGACTTGAACCACAGTCAGGCATGTGGGAGTCCAGCACCCTTAGCTACCATGTCACTTGTTGGTCCCCAGTTTAAAAAATTTTTGCAAAAGCTTTAGACACTTCACCAAAGGTGATACACAGATTTCAAATAAGCACATAAAACAATGCTCAAAATCATTGGTTACTGTTAAAATGCAAATTAAATAATAATCAAATGCATCTACACTAGTAGAATTGCTGAAATAAAACATATTGACAATACACAGAGTGCTGGCAAAGATGCACATAAACCTGAATGTCTACATGTTCTGGTGGGAATGTGGCATGGGACAGCCATTCTGAGAACTGTTTGGCATTTCTTATAAAGTTAGAGATGTCGGCTCAGCTGCAGTAACAGAGGTAGGTAGCACACAGATCCACAATGCTGAAGCCATATGTAAGATCAGGGCTCAGTTCCTGGGTTGACGTATGCCCACAATTCCAGTTGGCTAGGAAGACTGGGTGAGGAAAGGCATGAAACACTGTTGAGAGTGCCTGTCTCTTTCTCTTGAATTGTCATATAGGGTGCATACATTTGTTGGAGAGAGACAGAGGGAGAAAAAGTGAGAAAGCACCCCTCGGGAGGGATGACCCTGCTGTAATCCCTTCTCCTCCATTCTCCTCTCAGGATTTTGGGCACACAGGCACACATACCTGATATGTTTTTCAAACTGCTAGTTTGGGATTTGAACTATATAGTCAGCCATGTGGGATTTAGCCAACTTAAACTCCATGTTACTAGCTAGCCCTTTCTTTCTTGCTCATGAAATAAATAAATAAATAGACTTTAGAAAATTAAAGATACCATTGACCCTTGAATAACATGGGCGTTAGAAATGCCAATCTGCCCAGTTGAAAATTTGAGTATAACTGTTGACTCCCCCAAAACTTAACTAGTGACTGGTTGTGCATGCATGCCCCCAAATCTCGAGATGACATTGAAGGAGAGGCTGTGGTATGGGCATCCCTTTTGATTTAAAACAAGTAAACAAATAAACAACGAACAAAAAATGTCTCCTGACTGCCTCTCGGTTGCAATCTACATTTTTTTAACTGACCATGTGAGACCAGAGGTTACTTTCTCCTGTGCTTTTTCCACTAGGCTCAACACAATGGCAAGAGGACACAGAAACCCACAAGCTGTTTTCAGAAGGCCACCCACAGCACCAGGGAAAGGCTGCCCCAATTCATGCCTTACCATGCCAATGCTTTCAAACGAAATAATGGCTGTCCCAAAGAAGAGAGGGTAGGTCTTCCAGCTTGCTATCAGCGGCAACTGTCTGGGGTCTGGAATTTCCTTTAAGGAGACAGAAAAGGCAATGAGACAGTCACTCTCAAAGTCATTTGAGAACTTTTACAACAGGGGTAGTTTGACAGGACATCTGTTTTCTTTCTTTCTTTCTTTCTTTCTTTCTTTCTTTCTTTCTTTTTTTTTTTTTTTTTTTTTTTTTCCTTTTACCTTTTACTTTTTAATTGCCAGAGGGCATGTGCATTTGCCAAAGAGAGAGAGAGAGAGAGAGAGAGAGAGAGTCAGAGAAGGCACTCCCAAAGGGTTGTGGTCACACTGCAACCCCTTCTCCTCCATCTCTCCATCCTGTAAGGATTTGGGGCACATAGGCACATGTGCCCCAAGTTTTTCAAGGTGCCGGGCACAGGATTTGAACAGTGGCCAGCCATATGGGACCCAGCTCTCTTAACCACTAGGATAATAATTATAGGATCATTTTTTTTTTAATTGGGTAACCTCTGGGATAGTTAAAAAATGAGTCACAGGTAAGCTATCTAATTAGGAAATCCTATTTTGTAGAATTCATCAATACCTACTAGGGAATATAAGGCTGATCTGTAGTTAATTCTAAAATTATCTGGCTAATTTTTTTTAAACTAAGTTCCATGGATAATATAACTTTATTTTTCTTTTGCTGCTCCTCAAAAAGACAGACATGTGGAAATTATTGCATATGCCAAGGGGCTCCTAGGGTTAAAATTTCTATGTAGTGTTGATCATGATAAAAAAAAAAACTTGAAAGGATTGAAAATTAGGGAACTGAGGGGAAAACCAATATCCTTAACTCAACTTCAAAGATATTACAATTAACATCATAATCTGTTTGTTTATGGTTTCTCAGATTTTCTATGCCTCTGTGTCTAACTATTAGTTTTGTTTAGTTTTATCTTGCTTCCCCCTAGGGGTATTTAAGGTGCTTAGAATTATAGCCTAGAGAATCTAACACTATGGGTAATTCCAAGTTTTAGCTGTGGGACAAGATTGCATCTGGTTTTTGTTGCCAGTCAGTAAGAATGGTCTAGAGTTCACCAATCAAGATGTTTTCCTTGCAAAGTAAAATTTTTAAAAATGAGAATTAGTTATTTAATTTTCTTTATTATTATTTTTAACAATAGTATATTTTTATAATAATATTATTGGGCATGTGTACTCAACAGAGAGAGAAAGCTGCCAGGTCCAGGACTTGAACTGTGTCATCAGCCCAGTGGGATTCCAATGTTGTAATCACCATGCCACCAGCTGGCCCACAAAGCATAATTTTTTAAAAAGCCAGAATATGATATGAGAGCAACCGTTTGGAGAAACAACATGAACAAGGAGCTATCCGTAAGAGAGAGACTGCACGGAGACATCACTGTGGAAGAAAGGCTACACTCAGGAGGTGTGAGGTTGAGGAGTGGGGAAGACACCCATGCTGGGGATGGCTCCAGGCCCCTGAAGCTCAGTGTGCTGTGGATACAAAGTCCTGCCCACAGGAGGGGACATGTGTGGTGGGCACTAACCTGGGCGATGTATTGGGTGATGATGACCAGGCTGACCAGCATGCTGAGATTGGCCAACGTGGAGAAGATGGTCAGGATCCTGAGGCTCCTGACAAAGACCAGCAGCACCAGGCCGGGCAGGAAGGTGAGCATGTAGAGACGTGAGTCCATGGTGGGTGTCAGAATCATTGTCTCGTTGTAATGGCATTTGTTGGTTGTAGCATTAATAGCTTCCACCACCTGAGGAAGGAACGGGAAAAAACCAGAGGAGGAGACTATAAATATGGCCATGTGGTTAACTCAGTGCCTTGCCCATAATCAAATGCCTTCTCTAATCAAACTCCTCATGAAGAGTTGGAGCATCCATGGTGCCGTGTTGCATGGTTGCCAAGTCCCACTCTGAACTAGGGTGAATTTAGAGTTTCTTATTCTAAACTTTCTGCACCACACTTCCTCAAAGAAGACTGCACAAATAATTTTTCTTTTTTTGAGAGAGAGATATTTTTGCTATAGGGCACATGTGCTTGCCAGAGAGACACAGAGAGACAGGGAGTGAGAAATGACCCCTCTGTCCCTGGGTGGTGGGGGTGGGTGGGATGGCCATGCCACAATCCCTTTTCCTCCATTCTCCTCTCAGGATTTTGGGCATGCATGCACGCGTGCCTAGCGTAATTTCAAGCCACCAGTCCGGGACCCAAACACAATCAACTACGTGGGAGTTCAGTGACGTAACCATTACGTAATCTGCTGGTCCCATGCACAAATAATTTTAACAAAAAATAAATGTCCTGCCAAATAAGTAACTGATTTATAGGGGCTATTTGGTAGCTTTAGGCAAGTTGGCATCCATTCCTCATGATGCTGACTTATTTTTGGTGACTTTTCTCCTGCCACTGAATGCAGACTTGGAGGATGGTGGCAGAACTGAAGGTCTGGCCTTTGCCTCAAGCTAGAGCACCATAATCTTCCCTGGGAATCGGAAACTGTTTCTCAAGCAAATCTACATGAGACATAAGTAGAAAAGGGTAAAAATTAATTCTGACAGTGGATCTCTGAGAAGGTAACCTTGGAATATATTCATCTATTTATTTTCGTTTTCTTAAAAAAGATAATTATTTAATTAGATAGATTTTTATTTATTTATTTATTTTTAATTTGACCAGAGAGTGACAGAGTGAGAGATAGAGGGAAAGGGAGCAAGCAAGCTGCCAGGTCCAGGACTTAAACCAGGGTTGGCCATGTGGGATTCCAGTACTCTTAACCACCATGCCACCTGCTGGCCCCCAACTATTTCTTTTCTATACAGTATCACAAATTGCATGTATAACTCACATCCTTTTTATTTTACAAAACTACAATCTTTGCATATACTTTTATTTTGAAATCTCCTTTTCACTTAACAGCACACCATGAATACACAAATATCAAGTCTAATTTTTTTCAGATTCCTTATTTATTGGTTTGACTGTCTTCATCCTCCTAGTGGGCCAGTCCTGTCCTTTCCTGAGAACCTATTTTTCAGTTTTCTCTGTCATTTTGCATTAGCTAATACCTTTTCATTAAGCTTAACTTTCCCCAGAATCTATGAACCAGAGAACTCTCCCCTGTGTGGATTGCTGAATGCTTAGTACACCTGGACCCTACCCAGTGAACGCTGTTAGCATCCCCCAAGCATTGTGAAAAATGTGGAATCCCCACCCCTGCAACACACACACAGTGTAAACATGCCCAGCAAAGTCAAGGGTGGGTAATGGTGCCATCCTCGGTTTAGAATCAGCCTGCTCTAATTAATACAGCTTCACTGTGTGAGCAAGACAGTCCACTTCGGGACAATCAGAGATTAGTGGTTAACACCTTGAAAAATATCCATCTGTTCACTTTCTACATAAATGACATATATAATGCACATCCTTTTTATTGTACAAGACTGCAATCTTTGCATACCCTGTTATTATTTTTAAGTCTCCTTTTCATTTACTTAATAGCACCATGGACCCACAAACAAATATTAAATCTGGCTTTGCTAAGATTCCTTATTACAGTAGGAAAAATACCTGGGCCAAGCCCTCAAGGCCCTCCTTAAGTAGATCCTCTCCAACCTTCAAGGCTCTACCTCTCCCATGGCCTGCACTTACTACTGCACTGACTTTATTGCTTCTGCTGAGCAAGTTCCATACATTTCTGCCTCTGGGGTTTTACTCAGCCCTTCTCTCACATCAGCTGCCACCACTTTTTTTCAGAGCTGTCTTGAAGTCTAGTTCCAGGGCACCCCTTGAAAGTAGTCTTAAATACAGATGATAAATAAATGCAGATGAAGAAGATCAGCACATGTCAGATTGCTTTGTGAGAGCAATCTGGAAATGTATTTTAAGAGCCTTCAAAACAAACATTTTAACTCAGAATTTTACCTAGAGAAATATACAAGTAGGGACAGCTGTGGCACGATAGTTAAGAAAGCTGGATCCCATATGGCCAACCATTCAGTTTGAGTCTTCACCCGGTGGCTTGAGAAACATGCTGGGCATGTGAGCATGCATGCCTCAAATTCTGCAACGAGAGAGAAGTAGAGGAGACGGCATTGTGGTATGGCCATCCATCTTGGGGGGCGGGAGTGCTTCCTCACTTTCTGTTTCTGACAAGCACACATTTTTTTTTAATTAAAGAAATATATAAATAAAGGAAATAAAAGGATATACAAAGATGTATGTGTCAATGCAACCAAGTATAGTAGAACTAAGAGAAACAAGGGAAATATCCAGTGATATAAGACTGATTGTGTTATGGACAATCTGTAGGGTGGAATATTATAAAACTATTAAAATTACATTAAAATACAAGGATAGGGCCAGCCCTGTAGCCTGGTGGTTGAGTAAGCTGGCCCCCATGTGACTGACTACACAGTTTGAATCCAAAGTCTGGTGGCTTGAAAACCATGCTAGGCATGGGTGTGTGGAGGCCCCAAATCCTGACAGGAAGGAGAAATAGACTGTCTCTCTCTCTGGTGAGCACATGCGCCTTCTGGCAAATAGTTAAGAGAGAAAAAAAAAAGAAGAAAATGTAAGTGCATTGCAAAATGCTAATCAATTAATGTTTAATTATAACTATGAATGGTTGGATTAAGAATAATTGTGTTTGTTTTGTAGGAAAAACAATATAGCATAGTGTTAAGTCAGAGGCCCAGGTTTGTAGCCCTAACTCTGTGACCTTATATACATGACAGAGATTGTAACTTCAGCTCTCTCACCTGCAAACTGGCAATAACCACAGTACCTACTCTGAGAAGGTCACAGAAAGAATTAAATGAGGGAAAATGTCTTAGACCACAATTGTGTTGCTAACGGAAATACCTGAGACTCGGTGATTTATAAAGAATAGAGGTTGATTCATGATTCTGGTGGCTGGTAAGTCCAAGGGTGTGGGACTTAATTAAAGAATAATTTTCTTTTTTAAGCTTGTTGAGTTAGGATGGCCTCTGTTGTTAGCCATATTATTGTGCTTGAATTGCTGCAAGATAACATCTAGGTTAGAACAGAAAGATTTCATGAAGACAATCTATTAAGTCATAGATTAAGCAGCTGAAAGTAGGTAAAGATAGTCCCAAGAAAATTATAGACCATCAAAAAACACCCATATCAATTTTTTTTTTTTTTAAAGAGAGAATTTTGCTATAGGACACACACATTCACTGGAGACAGAAAAACAGAGCGAGAGTGAAAGATCACCCCCGGGGAAGATGGCCACGCTGCAATCCTTTCTCCTCCATTCTTCTTTTGGGATTTTAGGCAGACATGCACATGAGCCTGGTGTGAGTTTCAAGCTGACAAGACTTGAACTGTGGTCAGCCATGTTGGTGGTCTAGCACTTAACCACTATGCCACCTGCTGGCCCCACCCATATAAATTTTAAAGGCATTAAGTATGAGTAAGCTCTGACATAGGATTGACAAAATCCATGGGTCCTTGCAGTTCAGAATTTTAGAGATCCACCCAGAGGACAGGTGTAAGATGCTGTGTCTGGTACTACGGCAAAGGTAATCAGCCATCTACAGAGAGGAATGTGGGGAAGCTAGGTTCCTCAATACCATTTGGTTTAACTGCCTTTGTTGAACTGAAGAGGACACTAGGCCCCAAAGAGAAGCAGCAATTTGTTAAACAAACAACTAACAGTGGTGCCTCTATGTCATTCCCCTCCCACTTCCCCTCAGAGACTCTACCTGTTTTAAATTATCAGCCAGAAACACAATGTACACACTGCAGAAACCCAGCTGGGTGACAATGAGGAAGAAGCTCACGAGATGCCTAGAAGGGAAGACAAGAGAGAGAGAGAGAATGAAACCTTGTTATAAAAGGACTTGTTTCATTTCTTGCCATTCTGCCCTCTGTCCCCAGGATTTGGTGGCCCTGTATCAGCACCCTTTCATGTCAGTCAACAATGGGGCAGTGAGAACTGAAGTAGCAGTATTCTTTATAAAAAATGGTTTTCAACCACCCTTACACTTTCAGGTCAGCAAGTGGTAACACTCTTCAGGGTCAGGAGCCGCCTTCCACATTGCCGCCTGCAACATTCCTCATAATTGACAGTAATTGATGGAGGCCAACTGGCACAGTTTTTATTGGCTGTCATTAATTTATGAAAGTGTCTCCTATCATGTGCCAGCTGCTATGTTAGGCACAGATGATACACAGACAAGTAACACGTGGTCCCTTCCTTCATCTGTTTGTAGACAGTGGGTAAGGTGGACACATGTTGTTCTAATATGGCACTAAGGGCTGTGGCAGAAAGATCTTTTTATCTAAGTTATGGACAGACAGAAAGTCTTCTTAGAAAAACTAATGCCTGAGCAAGAGTTCCGTGGGAAGTGGAAGAAAGAGAGAAGAATAAGAAGAGGGGGGAGAAGAGGATGAGGAGGAAGAGAAAGAGGAAGAAGTGAGAGAAGAGCATTCTAGCATAGGGAGCAGGCCTATGTGGAGAGTCCATTGGAGGAACAAGACTAAGAGTAGGAGACTGGGGGAGTACTCTTCCAGGGGAGTACTCTTCCAGTACTCTTCCATCTGCTTTCCAAGATGGCAGCAGCCTGGAAAAAAAGTATGACCATTAGAATGAGAAAAATCAAAGCATTTTGAGAGACACTAGGGAGCTGGCATTTACAGAACTTGGCAATCCCCTGCTTCATGGGGGGTAAAGGGAAATGGAATGTTCTAAGGTTGATTACAGGCTTTTGGTATGGACAACAAACAAACTGGGAAACTATGGGAAGATCAGTTATCAGGAGAAGAGGAAGAAACAGCACATTCAATGTCTGAATTGTTCAACTTGAGGTTCCACAGGAGACAGCTATATTTTAAGGAACTGTTGAATTGTAGGTGATGGATAAAGCCTTGGGCAGGCAGATCAGTGTTGGATCATGTGCAGAGTGAGAAGAGAGGGAAGCACTCCAAACTCTGAAGGATACCACCAACATGTAGTAGAAATAAGGAAACCTACAATAAATGCCAAGCACTAGTCTTAGAGTAGGAGGGAAATTAGGAGGATAATAGAAGCCAAGTAGGGAGAGAATTTTTGAAGAGAGTAGTCAACTGTACCCGCTGCTACCGGGAGGTTCTCTAGGGTAAGGAAAGGTCTTCTAGGACATCAGCAGAAAGAACTTCAGTAGAACCATTCGGACAGTAAAACCAGGTGGCCTATGAAAGAGGTGTAAATGAGGTGGACGGGAGTAAAGTCAGAGGGCCATGTGTTCTTCAATGTGTGAGCTCCAGTTTTTTTGTTTTGTTTTGTTTTTTGAGAGATTTTTGCTTCCGGGCCTGTGGGCTTGCCAGAGGGACAGAGAGACAGAAAGTGAGAAATCACCCCCAGGGAGGATGGCCACACTGCAATCCCTTCTTTTCCATCCTCTTCTCAGGATTTTGGGCATGCATGTGCACGCTCCTAGTATGAATTTCAAGCCACTGGTTCCGGGACTTGAACTGAGGTCAACTATGTAGGAGTCCAGCGCCTTAAACACAATGCCACCTGCTGGTCCCAAGCTCCAGTTTTGATAGTGTCCACCTTGTTCATCATTGTACACCCATTGCCTAAAGCAATTCCTGACACACTAGGTATTCAGTAGATATTTGTTGAATAATAACTATACATCGAATATAGTTACGGTGGCTATAGGACGATGTAAGGTCCAGGAGCTTTATTTATTTTACTATTTTTAAGATGAAGATACATGAACACATTTAAATGCTGAGAGGAGAGCCCATACTAAAGGAATTCCAGTTATAGGAAAGGAGATACTTAGAGGAACAAAGTGCCTAGATGGATCAGAAAAGCTTCTATATATGGCCAATAATGAGTAAAAGAAGTTGAAAGGCTGTGATAGGCAAAAGTCTCCTCTTGGTTTACACAATTAGGAAAATTCTGGCCCTCAACCTATAGCCTTCTTTGTCTGCTCACAGGCTAAATTTATTACTTCCATATGTGAGTATGGGCTTTGGGCAAAAAGTGGTGCCAGACCCATGATGGCAAGCAAACTATATTCCATGGGGAGGCACATGCTGGGAATACTGCAGTGGTTAGGGTTTCACAGTTGGAGAGGACTGACTGACAGTTCAGATGGCCTCAGAAGATCAGAGGCATTCAGAATGGAGACAGGTCTGAAAAAAAAGACAAAGGAATAGACTTATTCCCAAGGACATCTGAGAGCGAAAAGTGGGGATTTCCAGGGAAGAGGACTTCAGCTTAACAAAAAGCCCTTACAGTCTTGGTCTTTTGCTCTTTTTTCTTTTCAGAAAAAAAAAAAAAAAAAAAAAAAAAGTTTCCCTAAGAAATCTTTGCTGCTCCTAGCTTCAGGAATGAGGATTTCAGTTCTGGATCTCTCGCATAAAGATGGGTTCAAACTACACATACCTACTTGACACCTCCACTTAAAATGTCTTTTAGGCACCTCGAACATAACTTGGCATTAGAAATCTGAGTCAACCCTCACTTTCTCATTTTCTCTCAACCTTGCCATCTAATTCATGACCAAGTCAACTTTTCTTTGTCCCCACTGTCACCAGCTTGGTCTCGGCCAACATTGTTACCTGTTGACATTTCTTTTAATTAAGAGTGTTTTTTTTGCTATAGTACGTGTGCGCTTGCTGGAGAGACAGAAAGCAAGAAATCACCTCTCCCCTAACCCCACCCCAGGGATGGCCATGTTGCAATTCCTTCTCCTCCATTCTCCTCTCAGGTTGGGCATGCATGCACATGCACCCGGAGTGAGTTTCAAGCCCCCGGGTCTGGGACTCGAACTATGGTTGGCCATGGGCCAGTCCAATAATGTAACTATTACACCATCTGCTGGTCCCTGTCTGGGCATTTTTGGAGTCTCCTCATGGATCTAAAACTAAATTACTCTTCTTCCTTTATAATATAGTCTCCTCCTAGAAGGCAGGCAGATCTTTAAGCAATGCAAATATGTCTTTTTTACTGATTAAAATCCTGCAATAGCTTTCTATTTTTTTTTTTTTTGAGAGATTTTTTGCTATAGGGTGCATGTACTTGCTGGAGAGACAGAGACTGAGAGAGAGAAAATGAGAACCCCTCCCCTCCACCAGGGGCATGGCCATACCACAATCCCTCTTCCTCCATTCTCCTCTCAGGATTTTGTGTGCACACACATGCCTGATGTGAATTTCAAGCTGCCAGGTCCGGGACTTGAACTGTGATTAGCCATGTGGGAGTCCAACACCTTAACCATTAAGTCGCCTACTCTCCCCTCATTTGCTTTTTAAAAAAAGAGCAAAACCTTTAAGAGGTTCTGAGATGTACAGCTTGATTAAACACCTGGCTTCTTCGGTTTCACCTCCCTGACTCTCTACCCTCAAGTTCCCTGATCTTTCTGTACGTTGAAACTGCCATGTGAACCTTCCTGCTCTGAGGCCTTCACACCTGCTCGTCTGTCTTCCTGAAAGGCGCCCCAGGCCCCTACTCACTTCCTTTAGGTAATTCCTCATCCTTCAGAATGCTTTTCTTCAGCACTCATCTCAACTCTTCCATCCAAGGAAGCCCTCAGCCAACACACCTCTCCTTACTTGCTTGGTAGTAACCCATCTTTCTGTCATCGTATTTATCCCACTGGCTGTTCAATTACTGTGTTCTAAGCTACTTAACATCCATATTTCCACTGGGCCACGAGTTCTGTGAGGGCAGAACCTTGTCTGCTTTACTCCCGGTGGTATTTCCAGGATCTGGTACATAGTAGCAACTGATAAATGTGGTTTAATCAAGGATGAATAACATTAAACTGTATAGCAAAGGAATAAGTACCCTGTCACTAGATCAGAAAAAAACAGAAATCCCTGTGACTTCTGAACAATTAGGTCAGATTTCTGAATGGTTTGCCAATAAACCCCTTCGAGGCAGAAAGTTTGACTTTCTGTGCTACCTAGGCCACCTTTTCAGGAAAGAAGGCACCCCCGAGAACAGCATTTCCTCTCCCCATATCCCACCCTCCTGTGGGGAAAGCAAGAACGTGGTACCTTCCCCAGTGGGCGTGGTTCTGGAGCCAGGTGCTGGGGCTGGCTTCTAGCCCATGCATCACCGTGTCCCCGTAGTCCATGAAGGGCTTGTTAAACCTGCAGGAGGAAGTGCACACACATTTGCCAAGAACTGGTTAACTTAAGATTATACACTCAAAAGTCTGGAGCTACAGAGCAAGGCAAGACAAGCTAGAGAATGGAAGGAACATGGGAGCAGAGACCTAAATTCTAATCCAGGCTTCAACACTTGGAAGTAATTTCTTGGTGGCTTGTTTTTCTAACCTGTCAGGTGAGGCAATTACTGCTTAACAAGAGTAACAATGCATACTTTATGTGGGTACAGTGGTTTTCCTACCCATGACCCCATTGGATCTTCATGACAATTCTCTGAGACAGGGTTGGGCATGGATTATTTATGTGCCATTTACAGATCGACCAGCCCGATAAGCACCATGACCTGACCTAATATGCCACATGCCAGAGCCTCACCTTAAGCCCCTGCCTCCACATGCACTTCTCCTTTTCTTGGACTTACAGGAAAAAAATTAAAAAGTAAACTGCTGCTACGTGTAGGATGTTTCTGGGATGTCCACAAGGACCACATACCGAAGGATCTGATGCAAGGATGCTGCTTTCCTCACCTGCGGCAGAAGCGCTGAGCACACTGGACCAGGATGTGCATACAGTGGGTGGCGACAATGCCCATCACCAGCAAGCTGAGTGGGCCCAACTGGAGGAAGGGGATACAAGGGGCAAGAGAAGATAGAAGAGAAGGGATTTAGGAAGAACACTGCCAGGGGAGATTTGGCTGTGCAGAATTCCTGAGACTCTGGACCAGCAGTTAGTGTAATGGCTATGTTGCTGGACTCCCATGTAGTCGACTGTGGTTCGAGTCCCAGACCCAGTGGCTTAAACTCATGCCAGGTGCATGTGCGTGCATGCCCAAGATCCCAAGAAGAGAATGGAGGAGAAGGGATTACGGCATAGCCATACCTGCTGGGGGTGATTTCTCGCTTTTTGTTTCTCTGTCTCTGTCTTTCTGGTGAGCGCACACGCCCTAAAGTAAAAACCTCTCAAAAAAAAAAAAAATTCCTGAGATTCAAAGAACTTTTGAGCTACCTGGTTTGCAAGTCCTTTATAGCAGAAACAGCTATTCATTAAAATATAATCTCAACTGGGACCAGCAGTTGGCGTAATGGCTATGTTGCTGGACTCCCATGTAGTCGACAGCGGTTCAAGTTCTGGGCCTGGTGGCTTAAACTCATGCAGGGCGCGTATGCATGAGTGCCCAAGATCCCGAGAGGAGAATGGAGGAGAAGAAGGGATTGTGGCATGGCCATCCCGCCTGGGGGGAGGGGGTGATTTCTCGCTTTCTGTCTTTTTTTTTTTTTTTGGAGAGATTTTCACTGTAGGGCGCGTGCGCTTGCCAGACAGACAGAGAGAGACATAGAGACAGAAAGCGAGAAATCACCCCCCAGGGGGAATGGTCACGCCGCAATCCCTTCTCCTCCATTCTCCTCTTGGGATCTTGGGCACGCACGCACACGCGCCCGGCGTGAGTTTTAAGCCACCGGGTCCGGGACACGAACCACGGTCGACTACGTGGGAGTCCAGAGACATAGCCATTACGCTAACTGCTGGTTCCCAGCTTTCTGTCTTTTTTTATCTGTCTTTCTGGCAAATGCACATGCCCTATAACAAAAACCATTCAAAAAAAAAAATCTCAACCGGTATTCCAATAAAGTACATGAAGCCATTATTACCGCAGGGTATTGTGGGACCAGCATGGTAGGGGACCCTGATTTTGAGCATGTGTCCCCATGGTGGCCTCTGAGGCTTCCTCAAGGACTCCTAGTGCTCTATAGAGCATAACCAGACACACTGGTCATAGTCCAACCCTTGCATTTGGCAAGAGAGGACTCTGAGACCCAGGGAGAGTGAACAAATGACTTTCCTAAGGCACTAAAGTCTGTGGCCGAGTCAGAACTCAAACCCAAGTAAGACGTTTAGGTGCCAAGTCTGGACCAGGTTGCTTCCCACAAAGACTGCTCGATGCAGGCTGTTAAACACCTTACAGCCTTTCCTCTCACCTCCATCCTACAACCAGTCACGACGGCCCACCTGCAGCCCCTCTTACCAGGATACCCGCGTTTCTCACAGCCAGGGGCAGTCCCAGGATCCCTGTGCCCACATTGCTTTTCACCAGATGAATCAAGGCCTGGAACCCCCTAAAAAAGGGAAGGAAACATGAGGATGTGGGTGTGCGGAGGTGAGGGGATCACCATCATTCGGTCGTAGTGTAACACCCAAGTTAGGCTGGATAGGTGGAGTCATGGCCATCTCTCAATCTATGACCTTGCTTGGCATGTCTGGATTCCTATAGGGGACCAACGGTCCCAGCTTGTCCACAGCTGTCCTGGTATTAGCAGCCAACACTTGATATTATGTGTGCCATTATAACACTTTCTGGCCTAAAAACTTCATTCTCTTGCTAAGATGATGAAGTATAGGGCCGTCAGAAAAGTCATGCTTATTTTTCTATGATTTTCTAAGCAAAAATGTGTCATGACTTTTCCCATGACCCAGTAGGTACTATTATTGTCTTTAGTTTGCAGCTGAAGAAATGGAAGCATAGAGAACTGTTGAATGATGTGTCCAAGTATGTAGCGGGGAGCCCAGATTTGAACCCTGAGAGTTCCTGTTCTTTCCCGCTTTTGCTGAACTGCCTCCCGGAAATAGACCCAGACAGAATGAGCAGAAGAGCAACCCCATTTATTTGTTGCCTTTTTGTTGTTGTTGTTGTTGTTACAAAAGGTTATTTTATTCATGAGTAAGAGAGACAGGTCTCTCCAACTGAGTCTTCACTCTGAGGTCTACCCCTAGCTTCATCCAGCCCTGGATCCTGGCAAGTGTTGCTGATGTATTCAGAGAGGTTTCTAGATGCAGACCCTGAACCTTCGCATGTGGGACAGCCTCCTGGAGTTGTGTCACCACCATGCCACTGTCTGGCCTCCAGAACAACCCCACTTCATAACCAAGAAAGCTGAGGCTCAGATAGGGGGCTGAGACAAGTCCAAGGTCATAAAACTAGCAACAGAGACAGGATTGAACTCAGAGAAAAGAGAGCAAGGCAGGCCAAAAAGAAAAAGAAAGGAAATCATTGTGACTTCTGAATAATTAGGTCAGATGGTCAGATGACTTGGGTTCCAGAGGCAATCTGGTGGGAGAGGGTCATTTGGAGACTGTAAGCCAGGGAGTTTTTCTCCAGCCTAGGGTATCAAGGCTGGAGACTGGTGTTCCCCTCTCCCCTGCCAAACAAAAATGAAACTCTTTCTGTAAGACAGATGTGAAGGCTGGTCCTGAGGACAGAGTCTAAACTATTAGGGGAAAAGAGTTCTAGGCAGGTCCCTTCTCTGTCGGTGGACTGCAAAACAAACTTATTTCTACACCTCTTTGTACCTGGACCAGGTTAAAGCAAGGTGAGCATTGGGTATATTTTAGTAACCTTGGAGATTCCCCATAAGAGATTTTCAGCTAGGAGACTTATTCTGAAAAGCAGCAGAATTTTTCTGGAAGGAGCCTGGTCTTTGGAGTTGGCAAACCAATGATTAAAACTCAAGGCCACCACTTAGAGAACTATGTCATCTTGGGCAATGTATTGAACTTTGCTGAGCCTCTGTAAATGTTTGGAGTAATGATAATTTGGAGAACTGCCTCAAACACTCATATCTTTATGTTAAACTCTTAAATCCTCTGGTTTGCTGAGGATTCGCCCATTGGTTTGTTAAGGGTTAAGAGAACAATTGGAGGGAGAATGGGGGTGGAGCATCTGCATGCCTTTCTTCCTGTGGGTGTTAACATCGCTGACCAAGCACTACACCCTATGGCAGTCTGTGATGGGCTTGTTTTGCAACTAGAACGGGTCAACCGGTCACTTTGAAAATGTCTAACTAAAGGACTTAGGAAATCTGAATTTAACTTTGGGCCACCCAGCCAACTTGAAAACACAATGTGGTGAGTCATGCAAAGCACTGGACTGGGAATCCAGAGACTTAAGTTCTAGCCTGAACTCATTTGGTGACCCTGGATTCTCATCACCATATTCACAGCAACCAGCTCTCCCAGGCACCTTGCTGGGCAGCTTTATGCTCATACTGCCTGTGCAGCCAGTGTAGGAGGAGCAAACTACCATAGGGGACAAATGGAGTGCAGAGAGGTTCCTTCACTTGCTCAACTGGTAAGCAGATCAAACCCAGGTGAGCTGACCCCATGGGTGTCATGCTTACCAACCTCATATTAAGACTTCTTTCCAAGCCATGAGGTCCCCTCTAGCTTTCACTTGCTTTATTCCTTCTATTCTTAGGTAGCTAAAATTGCTACCAAAGCATGTGTCAGTTCAGGACACGAGAGTTAGTTGATTCCCCTCAAGACGTCTGATTGAGGGAACCAGCAGTTAGCGTAATGGCTATGTCGCTGGACTCCCACGTAGTCGACCGCGGTTCGTGTCCCGTGATTTCTCGCTTTCTGTCTCTATGTCTCTCTCTGTCTGTCTGGCGAGCGCACGCGCCCTATAGCGAAAATCTCTCAAAAAAAAAAAAAAAAAAAAAGACGTCTGATTGAGAAATAGTCCTACTCAGTAGTGGGTGGCTCCCAGTACTGCTCACCTTCAGGCTCACTGATACCTAGGGACCTCAGGACTTGCCCTGGGGCAGCTGAACCATTCTGAAGAGGCAGGTCATATATCCAACCCTAGATGTCCTGCAGGGACTCCTTACTGCAATGCCTCCTTCCCTCCTGTATATCCCATCCCAGGTTTGAGTTAGTTTCCATGAGCATCCTCCTTTAATGCACACTGTCACCTGTTTTGCCCATAAGGAAGTGGAGAAGGGACAAAGTCACCACTTGGACTCAGACCTTCTGATTCTCCATACAGTGTTCGTTCTAAAGGGAGAGAGGCATTGCCAACGGGGTCCCACACTGTGATCTACCTCCTGGTCTCTGCTCCCCCACCACCTCAGGGAGGTCCTGGGATGTGAACCCAGGACTCTTCTAGCTGCGCCACCATTGTACTTCTTAAAGCAGCAGAACCTCTCCACCACTGCGCCCCACACCTTGAGTCCCTAAGTGAACTAGCTAGTCTGGTTGAGTGGTGGGGTTACGGGTAAGGAAGGGAGCTAGAGCCCTATAGCTTGACTTTCTTTTCTGTTTCATTTTTAAAGTCTTGTGAATGATGCCTCTCTCCCCTTCTACTCCCAGGAAATGGAAGAAACTAGAATCTTCCATGTACTTTTTTTGCTTTTTTGGTGTCATCACTGCAAAACTCAATTGAAGCAGAGGTCGGGCTTACTGTAAGGAAGGAGGGAGGGAAAGGCTTGGTTGTCAAGCCACTGTGGCTTTAAGCTTAGGTCTCACACTTCCCTCCTAGTTAGGAATTCTACCTTTCTCTTCAACAGTAATAGGACTGGACAGAAGCAAACGCAGTCTTCAGGGCTAGCTCTGGATTCCAGCCCCTGACCTGTAAATGCCTCAGTGTGTGATCTGTGGTGATGGGGCCTTAGTTTCCCCAGCACACGCTGTGGCTCCATCACTATATCCCTGGAGGCATGTTTTAAAAACAGGGTCTCACTATACTGTGACCTCTTGCTTCAGCCTCCCAAGTAGGCGGGACTACAAACTCGTGGCTGGTTTTTAGGGTGGGCCCAGAACTGGACTCATGCCTCCTATGCGGTCTTAGCCACCATCAACCAGTGCCAGCAGTCTGGGTCCCTACAGGCTTTTCCGAGTTTGCACTCCTGTCCCTTTAAGCTCTCATCTGGACTCTGCATCTTTTGCAGCCTTGGCTTCCTCATCTGCAAATGGGTTGAGGGTCTGATACACCCTTCCCCTTCCCCTCTGGGGTTTTTGCTGGCTCAGGCTTCCAGGTTGGAGGGCAGAAATGAAGAGGACAGAAAACAGCACTCACGTGATGCCCTTGGCCTTTTCCAAGCCTGGTGACTCTGAAGGGCTTCCATCCAAGAAATTGGAGTCCTTTTTCTGCAACTCCTTGACACTTTCGGGAGGCGACTTAAGCTCCAGCTGGAGGGTAACAGTTCCCTGAGGATCCTTGGTGCTTTTTTCCACAGACATGACTGCTTCGGAAGAGTTCAGGGTGCCAAAGAGGTCTGCGCAGGATGGAGCCAAGCGAGAAGGTGTCCAGTGCAGGTGTAAATCCCAACTCAGAGGCTGGTGCCTTCAGCCCGCCAAGCTGGAATGAGGCTCCGCCCCCCGCCCCCAGAGGGTGCCTCCGCCTCCTGCCTAGGAAGCCCAGGGGAAGAGGAGGACTCCTGGGAGCTGGAGAGGGAGGAGAGAGGGATCAGGGAGTCCCCCACCCTTACTGGTGTTGCCTAATAACGGTAGCGACAATGGCAACTACAACACTGGTGATTTTAGTAACTAATATTAAGTGCCTTACTAGGGGATAGATGCTCTTCCAAGTGTGTCTTATGTACATATTCTCAGTTAACCCTATACATTAAATAATTAAGAAACTGGGCCTTCTTGAAATAAGGAATCTGCCTGAGATATAGCTAGGAAGTGGCTGAGTTGGACCAAAGAAGCCTAAAGTGTCAGAGCTTCACCAGGATTCTTATTTCTGCCAAGAAAATGCCTACACAGTTCCTTCTTTATTCATGGTGGAGGGAGAATTTGCACTTCTTACTGGCTCCACAGTTTGCTGTAAGATGCCTCTTCTGGGAGCTCCCTTTATTAAGTTGAAAAAAGGAAAAGAAAAGAAAAGAAAAGAAAAGAAAAGAAAAGAAAAGAAAAGAAAAGAAGAAAAGAGAAAAGAAAAGAAAATCATTCACTCACCTCTAACTGCTGCTTTGTTTTTGTGAGGCTCCGTGGAGAGAATAGAGAGAGTAGGGAGGGGATTATTTTGGGAACAGGGAGAGAGGAAGAGGTGGTACGATTCCCAGTTGCATTTTACTGGGCAGGACACTGGCCCCAGGAGAGGGTGTGACTTGCCTAAGGACACATATGACATTTGGGATAGAATTCCGTAGCCAAAGGTCTGGGAGGTTTTCTAGTATCCTGTTCTCTGTCATTATCTCTACTTCATTGCACGTGAATGAGCCAAAATTTCTTTCTCCTTCAAAATTATAACCTTTTACTCGGGCCATACCACTCTGTCCTGCATCTTCTCTTCTTCCAAAGTAACATTTATTGAGGACTTACTATTTGTCAACAGCTTTACTTAAATAATCTGACTGCTAATTGGTGGCATCCACAATAGATTTGTCAGGACCCTTCCCTTTCCCGGGAGCCTTTCCCAAGGTCCCTATACAATTTTGAATATGTAATTTGGTATAAACTCGAGGCTTTATGAAGCCCGGCTACTTCTCTGGGTAATGTTGTTATTTAGTTTTTACAAATATGGAAACTGAGGCTCAGAGAGGTCAGGAATAGCTTGCTAAAGGTCATAGCTAGTATGCAGCAGAGTCAGAACTCCACTGTAGTCAGGTCTTCTAGGTCTGAAGACTACGACCTTGACCCCATGGTTTGAGTGCTGGCCCCAGTCTGCAAATTTCTTGTCTTGAATCAGCTGAACACTTGCTGTGGTTTGAGCTAACCCGTCCAGTGCCATGACGTGGCAGTATTCGTGGTCTGTGGAATAGCAGGCTGCCTCCTCCCTCACAGTACTGAGCTCCCACACTCCAATGCTGATTTAAGACTTCATCTCAACCATGGAGCTCTGCTCCTGCTTAGACAAGATCTACAAATAAGATTGTCAAGGAGCTCGAGATGTTTAGACATAAGCTATTTTTTGCTTTACTCTCCAGATTGTAAGAAGAACACTGAGTTAAACTTCAAACCAGAAGGAGCTCTGGAGTATCAGTGTTTGACCAGGCCCTTCCCAGGCATCATAAGTAAAAAGGGAACTTGCAGGTGGGTGAATGGGGCTGTAGACGCTCCATCTGTTTCACCCCCTGTCAGCAGGAGAGAGGGCTTCTCCCAGAGTGAGGGCCTCAGCATAAGTCCTTTTAACACTGGCCCTGGCATCCGGAGCCCTCAGTTCCACTGAGGCTCTGCCATGAAGTTCTTGTGACCCTGGAAAGGTATTGTCCCTTTTCAAGCTTTATTTCTCCCTTTGTGAAATGGGTAGCAGACTTCCACAGGCCTAGGTAGATGACTTCCATAGGCCTAGAGACCGCAGGAGCTTTGGTGGGTTCTTCTGTAATGGTGAGATGCAAGCTCAGCTTCCCTTGGGTAGAGTTGGAGGAAATTGTGTGTGGTTAGCCTGCCCACTTGACCTCCCCAGAGAGGGTGAAATAAAGGGAATTTTTTCTTAGTTTTTTTTTTTTTTTTCCCAGTTTTTGCCACATGGCACATGTGCTTGCTAGAGAGAGAGGGAAAGTGAGTGATCACCTCGCCATGGAGGATGGTCATACTGTAGTCCTTTCTTTTCAGTTCTCTTCCTGAGATTTTGGACATGTGCACACATGTGACTGTCATGATTCTCAAGCTGCCAGAGCCAGGACTTGAACTGCAGTCAACCATGTAGGATTGTGATCAACCATGTGGGAATCCAGCACCTTAATCACCATGACTCTTGCTGGCCCCGTGAATAAATGGAACTTAAATAGTGATAATCTTGTATAACCTTTTAGAGTAAACAAAAAGCTTTGTCTATTTCCTTCTTTTATAAAAAAGAATTATTTTTAAAATTTAATTTATTTATTTTAATTTGACCAGAGAAAGACACACAGAGAGAGAGAGGGAGAATGAGAATTCAAGCTACCAGAGGTGGGACTCGAACCATAGTCGACCATGTGGGAGGGTCCAACATCTTAACCACCACACCACTTGCTGGCCCCTGCTTATTTCCTTCTTTTATGGTGGTTTTGAAACTTGGTGTGTATAAAATCATCTGGGGAGATGGTAGAGAGCAGAGACCGGACTCCCTGAAGTAGGACAGACTCTGAGCCTCTGTGTATTGACCAAGCTGCTCAAGGGATGGTGATACAGGCCAAAGTTGGAGTTCCTGTGGTGTATGCAGGAGGGTAATTGCACCCTCTTTAGTAGATTAGAGAAGAAAGGCAGAAAGTTGGAAAGCAACTAGCTAGAGGTAGAAATAAATACTAGTACTCCATTAGGTTGGAGACGGCCGATACAAAATGAAATTCCTACCCAGACAAGAATTTATCACCCAATCTGCTGCCTCAGGTACCTCAATACCTGTGGGTTATTATTGTTGCTCTCCTCCTAGTCTAAATAATAATAATAATAAAAACTCACATCTATCGAATCTATCCTATGTGCCAAAATCTAGACTAAGGCCATTATTATCCTCATGTATTATTATTATTATCCTCATTTTCCAGATAAGGAGACTGAGGCTCAGGGGATTATATTACTTGCCTACGGTGATGGAATTAATGCTAGAGTTAGAACTTTGATTTGAATCCAGGCCTTTTAGAATGTGCCCCTGCAGCTGTAATTTCATTGTCTCTGTTCCTCTACTATGCCCAACACACAAGTAGAAACCCTTAAAAAAATATATATCCTTCCATGTGCATAGCTTATGTGATTCAAGATTTTGGTGGTTCATGTATCAGTCGACTTTCCAAGTAAAATGTAGCCATTGGCATAGATCACCAAATTCTCATTTCCCTTTGTGAGAACCTTTGAAATATCACCGTTGTTTATTTATTTTTAAATTCTTTTTTGAGGGATTTTTGTTATAGGGTGTGGGCACTCACCAGAACAAGAGAGCAACAGAAAGAGAGAAATAACCCCCCATTGGGTGGCAGCCATGCCACAATCCCTTCTTCTCCAGTCTCCTTTCAGGATTTTGGGAATGCAGGCGCTCCTGCCTGGGGTGAGTTTCAAACTGCTAGGTCCGGACTGAAACTGCAGTTGGCCATGTGGGAATCCAGTGCTTTCACTACTACGCCACCTGCTGGCCTCAGAAATATTGCCATTATTTTTGGAAAGCGAGACTATTTCAACTTTTGAGAGCCAGAAGCTATAGATCTCAGGATAAAGGACGATGTTTTTTATATTAATAGGATTCCTGCTTTTCTGGCTGTCACTGCTCTGTGCCTTGGTGGTCCTCCACTATAAAATGCTGACAAGGTACCTACGGGCAGGAGTAAGGATTAAATGAGAAAAGAAACAAGGAGAAATATCCTTTCTTCATTTTGTACCCCCTGTCACTTTCAGTCTAAACTGGCAGTGTTTTTACTGATAAGACATTTTCATGTGTCTCCTGGTGACTGGCCCATGCCAGGTACCTCAGCGAAGAGATGCTGGCTAGGAGGTCACTGGATCTGCTGCAGAACCTGTGGCACTGCAATCAGGAATTGAAGACCGATCATTTACCTTCTGAGTGCCAATTGAAAAGTGCTCTAGGGAGCAGCAGTTAGCATAATGGCTATGTCGCTGGACTCCCATGTAGTCAACCCCGGTTCGAGTCCTGAACTTGGTGTCTTAAACTCATACCAGGCGTGTGTGCGTGCGTGCCCAAGATCCCGAGAGGAGAATGGAGGAGAAGTGATTGCAACGTGGCCATCCCTCCTGGGGGGTGATGTCTCACTTTCTCTCTCTGTCTTTCTGGAGAGCGCACACGCCCTACAGCAAAAACCTCTCAAAAAAAAAAAAAAAAAGATGCTCTAGAACTCAGTAAAAGATGAGATATTTACCAAAAATGTATACAGTTAAAACGGGCAATAGATGAAAATAAAAACATTCTTCAAAAATTAAATAAAGCTGATACACCTGCTGGGAATTAAAATTAGAAAAAAGAAGAGGAGTGTAATCTTTTGGGTAAGTTTACCCATCGACTACAGGAACTTGCTGTGGCCAGAAGTACAGAAAATATAACAGAAGTTGAGGCATCTACTGAAAAAGAAGATGATTCTGCTGAAGAGGATGAAGAAGAAGAAAGTGAAGAAAGTGGGGGCAAAGAAGAACCAGACAAGGAAGATGAAGAGAAGCAAGAAAATGAATCTCCCAAACAGGAAGCGAGGAAAGAATACATTGCTGTTGGAGATTTTACTGCTCAGCAAGTCAGGGACCTTACATTTAGGAAAGGAGAAAGTCTATTTATAATTAAACACAACACACACACACACACACACACACACACA